ACCGTGGGTTTTTGTGGGGAGGGGGCAATTGTCGGTAACAGGAGCGGGCAGAGCCTGGCAGCCAAGGGACGCACAGGGCCCCCAGTCCCAGAGGGGCTCTGCCAGGGAGCCGCGTCCACAGGCGGGGGGGCAGCAGGTAAACCCCCTCTGGGGCAGAGCCACTCGGGGGGGGACGGACCAGTGGTGGTGGGGAGGAATGACCCCTGAAGAAAAACACCGTTCAACGTGAGAATAAGGGAGCCGTGGCAGGTCTCTGGCCCTGGAGAGCCTACGGGCATGAATGTGCTCACACAGCGAGTGGCTGGAGGGATGCGAGAGCGCCGTGTTGTGGTCCCCCCCCTCTGCTCCTCCAGTGATAATTAATGTCTGTGTAATCAGCTTTCGAAAAGAAAAGCAAGCCTAGTCTTTTAACGCTTCACTGCCAAAGCCGCCCTCCGGATTTTGAGAGCAATACTAATCCAATGCTCCTGCACGGGCGAGCCCTAATGCGCTGAACTGCTGAGAAGGGCTCAAGGCGTGAAAGGTTGGGGAAAAACAAGGTAGCATCGACAAGAGATCGAGTCTTGACCCCCCACAAAACACATGAAGGGCGAGCAGGGGGAGGCAGCGGGGATGCTCAGCCCAGCTCCTCTTGGGCATTCACCCCTACCCACCGCACTTCTCAGCTGCCATCCTCACCTACCCCATTCCCCATCCGAGGCAGCCTTCCCCTGTGGGCAAGCAATAAACCACCCAAAGGTGCTCTCACCGAAACAGGAGGTTTGCAAAGGGATTGAATTGCCTGAAGATGGGCGCAGGCAGCGAGGGCTGGAAGCGATTCCTGCACCAGGGGCTGGGAGAGCACAGGACAGCCCTTCCCCACCAGCCCTTCCCCAGGAGGAGCCTCACACACCCCCACAGCCCCCTCCTCAGCCTTTAACTACTGCAGTTTCAGCACAGTGAGCTTCAAGGCAGATATGTTCAAAATAAAATGGAAGAACGTTCCTGTTGGTTTTACCTAAATGCATTTAAAATAACATTTAGAAGAAGAAACGACACCTCCGAAACACAGGGTACACCTTGGCTGGTGTAGACAAGCCTGGGCCCTCCCACGCCAGCAATGGCCAAATTTACACCCTCTTGGAGGCGGTGGTTTGTTTTTTTTATTGGCCTACATGTCTGTTCCCTGCATGTTTTCACCATATGCCCAGGGCTGAGAGGAAGGAGCCCATCTGCGCTCTCAGCGGTTCATCTAAACACACGCAGCGGAACACACCAAGTCAGCCACGGTGAGCGACCGCGGGCCTGGCTCATGGCTCCAGGGGAGCAGCGGCCAGGAGACACGGCCAACGGCACCACCGCTGCCCGTCGGCACGGGGAAGGTCCTGCGCTGCTGCTGCGGGGCGGCTCTGGAGGAGCACCCTGGCCACTGCCTCCGGACCGGGGTGCAGGGGACGGGGAAGCCGCGAGCACGGGTGTGGGTGCAGGCGCAGGCAGGGGCGCAGGCGGGGGTGCCAGCCCACACGGCTCCCAGAGGCAGCAAATATTCTGAAACTACAGCCGCTGTTTTTGAGAAAAGTTAAGCAGTTTTATTCAACGGGATGAGTCCACACCCAACCAGTGGCTTCATCTACATGGCATCATCAGCATACATGACAGAGGACCCACTCAGACACTCTAGCTGAACGGCATCTCACCATACGTTACAGAGACAACACCAGAGGAGGAGGACGACCGTTACAAAGGGCAGCCAGCCAGCGGTTTCCTACGGCTTCCCGGCGTAACCAAACCCATCCCCACCAGACTACGCAGCCCAGCCACTCGGAAGCAGATCAGACTCGGGACATCTACTGCCGCACCGTGAAAACCACAACACCGCTAGTTAAATAACACAGTCCAGGGTTTACAAAAATGACCTACCAGGGGTACTTCAGCCTAAGGAAGAAAGTGCACTGTCATCACCACCCCGGGGACCGACACACTCGCGCGCATCGCTGAAGAGTCTGTACAGAGAAGAGACCGCTGTGGGTGCCGCTGCTTTCGAGGCAGCAGCGCTGAAGGCGACGCCGAGCCCCGGGGAGGGTGGGCAAGCGCCAAGCTGCCCCCCCGGAGGCGGCGACGGCACTGCGGGACAGGACGGGATGGGACGGGTCCGTGGGGACCCGGCAGGGTCTGCAGGAGCCGAGCTGGGGGTCGGCACTCGCTCTGCACAGCAGAGAAACAACTGCTCCATGAGGATGCCCTCCTCTTGGCGGCCGCGTCCCCGCGGAGGGGCTGTGCCGGCGCCTCCGGACCCTCGCCCGGTGGGGCGGTGGGAGGCAGGGTGCTCCCACCGCCCGCTCACGTCAGCAACTCGGCCAAAAGTTTTCACAGTGAAAGCTCTGTGAACTCTCTGAAGCCTACAGTCTTTACGCCTTTAGAGAGGTATCGAGGATCAGGGTAAAGTTACTCATAAAACATGAGCAGGTTCCAGTTGTGATACTCCTACAATGTACGTGTTTCAATTCTGTGCCAAGTTAGCTTGCAGAAAAATACATTTCTTCCCTTAAATTTACAGTAGTTAAAACTACAATTTGAATACCGTATTAAAAAGGGGTAGTTTATTCTTCAACAAAACGTCCTGGTTTTCTTTTCTTTAAAAAAAAAATTAAAAAGGACTTTAAAAGCAATCACCCCCAGCAGAACGCAACTGTACAAAGGAAATCATGATGTGTACAGCTCCTAGGACATTAACTCCAAGCATTTGTTCTGGTGCTCAAAAAGGCACTTAAAGATAAGAAAACAATGGTATTAAAAACCCACAACAAAACGAAACAAAGGAAAATGAAAGGCAATAATTTAACAGAAAGACACTGGAACTTGTACCGTATCTCCAAAAGTAAGAAGGGAGGAAAAAAAAGAAAACCCTAATAAACATGGTTTTGCTATCAAGTCATCTTTGAAAGTATATAAAAAAACCAGAAGACTGGCAAAGTGAATGTTCTCCAGGAACTAAATGGAAAAAAAAATAATAATTACTGGCAACGAATACACAGCTCTCGTGCCAAATGGGTTCCTTCCCTCCCCCTAAAAGCACATTTGCTGGTTCATTACTAGACCAGACTGACAGACTGTTTGAACATCTGCTGCCCGTAATGACAGAGGCATTGACCTCAGGGTTAGCCTAAGTTAGGAAAGGGGGGGAAAATTATGAAGAAAAATAAACATCAATATGAACCAATTGTGGTAATTACAAATGTCAACAATGTTAATAGACAAGTACATAAACACCATTTCCCCTTACAGCATTATACGGAGGAACAATGACAGAATCACTACATACAGTACTTCTCCCCCACTGTACACTGAAAGGTTAGCTTTGCGGCTTTGTTTTTTTATCTCTTTTTTTATTACCATTATTATTACTGGGTTTTATTTTTACATTGAGCTACCTACTAAGTGCAAAGATTTGGTGAGTGGCATTGGCTTTCATCTAATCTTAGCCTATTTTTTGTACAGTTTACATGTTAACAGTTACTTTCCAGCATTTAAGCAAGTACAGCAATATATATACACGGACTGGCAGGGGCAGGAGCCGGCCAGGAGCGGGGTGTGTAAGGGACACATGCTTGTGCGCTGGGCGCAGGAGCAAACAGCGGCCGGTCCCGCTGGGTCTGCGACGCCGGGTCTGCGACGCCGGCTCCATACCCGGCACGTGGGGGTACCCGGGGGTAACCGCCGCCTCGCCCCAGCTTGGGGCGGCTGCGCCCACGGACGCGTTCGGGTGAGCTCCCTGGCTGAGACGCGGGCTGCGGCAGGAGCGGTGGGCTCAGTGCCCCGGCCAGCCCCGCCGCTGCCTTCTGGAAGTTGGGCTGCTCCTCCAGCCGCCTGCGAGCTGGGGTCTGCAGCGGTGCTGGAGGGAGGAGGAGGATGAAGGAGGGAACAGAAACAAGCCCTGGGCAGGGGCAGGTGACTGCTGGATGAGGCAGGAGGGCTCGCTAGCTTCTTCGCCCAGGGACAGACAGAACAGCAGAAATCAGAGATAGCAGGAAGAAAGGATGAAGATGAAGGAGCCATTAGTGCAGCTCTTCTATGCAGCTGAAGAGACTCACCATGGCCCGTTTCACGGTGGGGCTGTACGTGATCATGTGGAAGTGACCAAATTAAACCACGGGTCATTGCATGGAAATCTGTACAAGAAGAAAAAAAACTGCAGGAGAAGCACAGAGTGTCTTGAATTCAGCGCTTACAGAAGAGACTTCATTATCAGACAAAGTACCATGCAATCCCCAGCTCTTTCTGCATATTTTTTCTCTGGGTTAAATGTTCAGAGGAAAAACAAAATGTAGATTCTTTTGCATAAACTCAAACTGTTGTATTTATATAGTACAGTACAGAAAGTGCAAAATATCACCCCATCAGATCGGTTCCGTATCTGATATGGTCAAATATGGCTCATGCTTTTCATGCAAGAAGATGCAATCTGAATCAAGACCCTCATGTACTGCTGTGCAACTTCAAATAAAGGAACGTTGTTGTACCAAAGCCTCCTCGCCTGTTTAGTCCCATCTGTTGAGACATCATTAGGTTTTTTTAAAAAAAAGAAAGAAAAAAAAAAAGAAAAAGAAGTGTGTGGGGAAAGGGAAATGAAGCATCTCAAAACTCTGTAAGTTACTCTATTTATGCTTTACCACAGGTTTGTCACTAGTCCTTGTTCATTCTGAAATCTTCAAGAAAATCGGAGTTCTGTGGACCCCATGGTGCAGGCAGGGCAGCACTGTGCCCCGGTGCAGCAGCAACGTCCTCCTCCCTGCGTGAAGCCAACGGAGTACACCTCATTTTCTGTCCCCGCTCCTGCCGGGTGCCGCTGGCCGGGGCGTCACAGCACACATGAAAACGTCTCGGGATTCAGCTTGAAAAGACACTCCAGCCAGCCTGACACACACTGGCATTTATGAATTTCCAGCTCTTCTCCATAGGCCAGCAGTGAACAAAACCCACTGTATCTACCCTCTGCCCCCCACCCGCCTTTTTTTTTTAAATGCCACGAGGTGCAGAAAATAAATTCCAGGATTGGCCTTGTATTGCTCGACGCACAGCTGCTATGTATCTCCACGCACACACACAAATAGCCTGGGAAAAAAATCCAAATCAACCCAACATCTCTAGAGAGGACATTTCAGAGCCAGTTTCTGAGGTAAATCTACTTTTTTAAAAAAGTCACCGAATTCTGTACACTTATTTTTTTTAATATATACTTCTACATATAGCGTGTATTCTCCAGTGCCAACACATAGACCCGCCGTCTCCTCCTGCCGTAGGACTGCAAGCTTGGGAAGTGTTACTGCATGGACGGGCGTGTGTGTGCACACATATGTACATACACACACACACATACACTTATGTACAATCAACCATCAGGCCTAGGCTACACACTTGTTCCCCTTTTGGAGAGGTTCCTCTTGAGCACGGTTTTGACTTCCCGCTTGGCCGAGCGAGGCTTTGCCGAGCTGCCGGCCCTGCTCCCACCATCCAGGCGCTGGCTCTCCCCGCCGCAGTCCCCGCGCTCCAGCCTACATGGTGCCCGATTTATCCGTCGAGCTGCTGGGGAAGAGCTTCTCGGTGGGGGTGACGGCGGGGCTGCCCACCCCTGAGCTGCTGCTGCTGCTGGAGCGGTGCTGCACCACCGGCCGCACCGGCCGCATCGGCGGGGGCCGCAGCTGCGCCCCGGCCAGCCGGGCCGACAGCGCCGGCTTGAAGGTGGTCATCATCTCTGTGGTGGAGCTGCTGCTGCGCCGCATGGCAGCGTCGGGGTCCCGGATCAGGATGGTGTGGAGGGGGCTGGCGGGCTCCGAGTTGGCAGCGCCCATCGGGGGGTTCTTCATGGGCTCCAGCGTGTCCAGGACCACGTCGGGGGCCTGCTTGGCCGTGTTCTGCCTCTCCAGCTCCCGCAGTTCGTTCAGCGCCGTGCTCATGGTCTTCTCGATATCCTGTGAACGCCACCAACAAAGGGGTATCAGCACCGTGCCACAGCATCAACCCACTCTCCTGCACCCCACCCGTGGAGATGCCCCCCGTCCTGGCATGTGTGTTTGTCTGTGTGGGTCTCTGACCTAAGACGGGGCCTCCAGGCAAAGCAGGAGCTTTGGGAGAAGATGTAAAGCCCAAACGCTGGCTGTGCAAAGGTGCCTCACGTCTCCCAAGTCAACAGGAGTTTGGTCGCCAGCTCCAAAGGGAGCAGGCTCCGAGCACCACAAGTGATGGGGTGAACATCAGCCTGTCCACATCTCCAACGAGACAGGGCATCTCCACGCTCCCCTGCAACACTGAGGCTGGTTTCTCCCCAAAAAAGGAGGTCCTGCAGCCTCCATCTGATGTACAAGAGCTCTGCTGTCCCTGTGCCTACAGGGCAATGGGCACACGTGGGGACAGAAACACACAGGGATGTATGCAGAGTAAGCAGCACAATGGCTGCTCACCATAAATAGGAGAGAGGCAGCGACAATGCCTCTCCTTGCTTGCAGGGAGGGACCCGAGGTGAGACCGGCCCGAGCCCCTCACCACCTGCCCACCTCTGGTCATGTCTCCTAGGCATGGATCCCATGGGTCCGTCCACAGAGATCCTCCACAAGGTGAACCCAGTTGAACTAGAAGCGTCCATTTAAAGGAAATTAGCTAAATTGCCTACAACAGTAGTGCTGATAGTCTCATTCAGAAATAGAGAGGCCCTAGTCTGACTTCACTTAAATCCACCTTAACTGAATTAAGGCCACTAACTCAGAAAGAGACCATTTGAAAAGTGATTTAAGGTAACTGAATCGATCGTTTAAAAAGTAGCTCTAGTTAACTCTCCTCGCTGTCCTTCTGTAGACAAGTCCTTAATTTTATAATGCATACAAAACGCTTGGTGAGCCTCAGATAATGTTCAGAGGATCAGCAGAAGGGAAATGATTATCAAGTTAGCTCCAATTAATTCTACTAAGCTGTTCAGATAATGAGTGAAAATATTCACCGAGAGCTAAGCCTCAGGACTACCAGTCCAGCAGCTCTACAGACTTCAAGGTATTTATATCAGCTGAGCGAGAATCTTTTTCAAGGTTTAAAAAAACAACCCAAAGCCCCAAAACCCAAGAAAATTGTGCATATCATGCTCTGTCCTCAGCATTCACCCGTCCCTCTGGAGGCTCCCGGACCCCACAGCCTTGCACTGCACCTGGGGAACGTGGCCCCGGTGTGCCATGCTACTGGCCATCAGCCGAGCCCGGGGACTTTGTGCATGCTGTTATCCTGTCCCAAGGTGGATGTGGTGCCTCAGCTCGAGCCATCGCTCAGGGCACGTGCTGTGCTACGACCGTAACTTTGTAAATTGATCACACCAAATGCAAGCTCTTGATGGACAGAGAAGCTGGGTAGCGTGCTGCAGAGCAAGAGAACAAGGAGCGTGGCTGGTGGAAAAGCAAACAGGACAGTAAGAGTTCTTCCTTTCTGCAATCATCATTAATTATCCCACCGAAAGCAGCTGATTCAACACATAATAGCCTGTCAAACCCTGTGGCACACGAGCTGCTGCCGGGTGGAGGGCAGCAGTCTCACCAGCAGCTACACCCCTCCGCCTGGGCATCACCCACCGTCCCCCAGCTGCTGCTCCTGCCGGAGGGTGGCACGAAGCAAACTGCCAGCAAACTGCTGAAATAGGGGATGGTGAACAGCCTGTACACGGTGCTCCCAGCCCCTGAACCAGCCCAACCCATGGCTGTTTGGACACATCCACAGGGACTGTGCCTGAACTATGTGGTCCCAAAGAGGCTGGGGAAATCCTGCCGCCTGCTCCATGAAGGGACTGTTCTCCGAGATGTTAACAGGTTTGGTATAACTTGACTGATACCTGGCTGGGGGCCTCCTGCCGCCTGCTCCATGAAGGGACTGTTCTCCGAGATGTTAACAGGTTTGGTATAACTTGACTGATACCTGGCTGGGGGCCTCCTGCCAGCAGTAGGGAGAGGAGACCTGCAGGCTGTGCTGGAGGTAACATGAATTTAATGAGCACTATGGAACCAATGGCCTAGTGTGATGCCAATGATGTTGCATGGCTGGAGGTGTCACACTGAGATTAGACTAACATTTTCAGGTCCCAGCTACAAGCAGTCAGTGACAAACCTGAAGCACCTTTCTCCAAATATCCAGCATCAAATGCTGATTTGGCAAATCCAGTTTTCTCCATCTAAGCTTCTTATGGAGCATCAGATGAAGATAATGCGCTTCCCTCCCTGCGGGAGGTGAGAGCTGCCAGTGCATTTTGGTGGTGGATCGAACGTTTCTGTCTATTGCTTCAAAGAATGCTCCAAAGGTTTGTGGAAGGAGGCAGTATCTTTTATTAGACCAACCGATAGTTGGAAAAGCAGGCAAGCTGTTGGCTGCTCATTTTTATCTTTAAACCATCGCAGCTACAACAGCACTGTAATTCTGAAGTGCGTTGAGATGGAAGGGGCTCTGCGGTGCAACCCAAGTGACCTTTATTTTATAGCCTCTCGATCCCTGGGCACTGAGAGCCACTTCACAACCCTCTTACCTCAGCAAGTGCTTCTGCTTCTAGAGATTTCTGATCTCCGAGACTACTGTGTCTAGTCGATCCACAGGTCGATCTCAGCGGGTGGCCATCAGACAAGGCCTTCCTGTCTGGGAAATTGATGCTGCCTGCACTGCCGAATGTCGCCATTCTGCGCTTTTCAGGACTCTCAATCCTGCCCCTGTTAAGAGGTATTTTGTGGGGGCTGCTAGGGCAGGCCGCTGCTCGAGGAGGAGTGTCTATGCCAGGACCCATCCCTCGGGGTGGGCTGTGGGTGTCCCCCCCACTTCGACGGCGAGGGATAGCTGCACCGTCAGACCTCAATCTCACTCTGCAAAGAATCCATCACAAGACTAGGTCACTGTCCGTCAGACTGAAAGCATTTGGTTGCATGCTGTAAGACAATTGCTCAGCTCTGAGAGTTCAGATCAAACCAAACTCGAGCCTTTCAGCTCCAGAAGACTAAGGCAAGAGGGAAGACAGACATTTTAGCCAGTGCCAAGAAAGGGACAGCATAGTACCTTCTTTACTTGTTAAGATCTACATTAGCAATGCACATGAAAATCCCCTCCATGCTCATATTATTCTGCAGTGCTTACTGAAGCCTTCCCTTCTGTCTTGCCCTACACCACACACAGACTCTCCCCGCACGTGACAGCAACCACCTCTGTGTTCATAGGAGAATGAGAGTTTTCCTACCGGCCCATTACTCCCCCAAAGCCATAGTCCACAATATGATCCGTCGGAGACTGGATGTCGTTCTTGGAAGAGGCTTTATCATCCAGCAGTGGTCCGCTGCTTGCCTCACTGTCCGCCTTCTGACTCAGGCTGTCGGAGAACGCATCATCCCTAGGAAAAGGAGACCTCCATGAGCTAACAGGGCCCTGCCCCAGGAGAGAGGCGAGGGCCCAGCCACAGCATGGATCTGAACATCACCACTTCAGCAGCTCCAGACTTTGTTAACAAAGGGCTGGACCAAGGCCACCACTTCAGACAGTACCTAGAGCTTGGAAAAAGCGAGCATCATGTCTCCCTATCAACCTGTGCTGTAGTTGCCATTTTAATGAATCCAGGTACAGTACTTGTAACAGAAGTGGCATCTGCGAAGGACCCTGGGATCTGCCTACAGGCCAGCTGGGCACTGAACGGTGCCAGGTCAAGGTACAGAGGTGGCAAGGCCAATATTAAGCCTGGGTCATGCCACTTTGAGAAGTCAGTGATAGATGGGGTTCAGGCACACTGAGGTATAATATTTAGTGCTTGGCTTTATCAGCTTGAACAAGAAACTATCTGAGCCAATACATGGTGAGGCAGATGCAAACAGATCCAGATTTCCCACCAAAGTCATTAAACCTGGGAAAATCTGACCACCTATTTTAGGTGGCTAAAGATGGACCTCATGTAATTACGTGATTTTAACACCCTGGATCAACACATGCCACTTTACTTACATGTCCTGCACCACAATGTACTGGTGGGGTATGAGGCCATCCACACCATTATGTCTCCCTTCCCACCAGTCTTCTGATGCCCGATGGTACAGGAGGAGCGAAGCTCCTTTCTTAAAGGACAGCTCTCGTGGAGATCGTCCAATGTAGTCAAACTTTGCTATGGCTTCAATCTGCTCCACTTCTGCAAAGGAGAGAAGGACAGATAGAGAAAAGCTTAGTTCAACAATCACAAGGGCACAATAGATCCTAGAAAGAGATATCTCACCAGAACAGCAGTAGTGCTGCTGCCCTAGCTTCCCGAGAGCATCTTACACTGAGCACAAACCATCTTATTTTTAGACTGATCAATTCTTTTTGTTCTTCCAGCCTTCCTGGAATTTCTCACAGACTCACAAACTATCAGCAATTACAAAAAGCTACAAACCAGATGGGGAGTAGTTGAAATTTCCCTGTGTGCATATGGCATCATCACCCGCACTCTCATTTTCTACCTATAAAGTGATTTCTTCAGTTGCAGAACCCCATTATCCTCCAGACTGGGATCTTGTTAAGCTGTGTCAGATACTGTGATCAAAGCCCCGCTTACCTTCTCTTCCTTTCCTTATCCTGGAGACAGTTTTGCCTGAATTATTGATGAGTAACGAATCCCCCTTTGGGGATCCCCATAGAAATGATGATACTGGCTCTGGCCAGGCAGCTGTTCTGCATCACACCCCCACATCTGCAGACCTTCCAGCACTCTACCTCACTGCTTCTCCACTTTTTCTAATTTAAGCTCTACCAAACACCAGGGATTCACAAATTGGGAGCTCACAGGGCCTGAAATTCAAGAGGGCTGAGGCAGGACTTCACTTTGGGAGGTTGTGAGCACACCAGGAGCCTTTGAGGCCCTGGCCGAGGGCATCACAGCAGGGGATGCTGGTGCACCCAAAGAGGAGCCTGGTTGGCGCCAAGGAGCCCGTGGAGGAGCCCAGCTCTTCTGCAAATCTGCTTCCAGCTGGGAGCACTGAATCCCAGAGAAACCACTGCAGTGATTGCAAGGCAGCGATGGCACTTCTCTCCTCACTGGCAAGAGCAGACTGCACTCTGCCTCACTTTGCTCTGAGACAGGGGTGAAAAAGCAGGCTGCCACCACTCAACTACCTCTAGCCCCTATGGGAGCCAGCAAGCAAGCAGTTAACATACCTTGATAGTTTGAGACACCTGATCATTTTAAACCCCACCTGGAGACTGGCAGACAGGTGATGACAAAGCTAAACAGGGCAAATATGCCCAGTTCCTCCAGATCTGCCACATTCTCATTAGAACATGAAAACTTGCTCTGCTCCGTCTGCCTCGTCACTAACCACAGGCTCAGCATCAGCAGCAATCAGGATGCGACCCCTCACTCTGCTCAGTGACAAAATCCACACAGAGGAGGAGATACCGGAGGAAGACGTGGGAGATGCTGAATCAGACCCCTGCCCCCTTCCTCGCCTCATGTGGGACAGGACAGGTCACTTCAGCAGACTGATTTTCCCCAGCTTAAAACACACATCTGCATCAACACAAGCAGCAGGGTGCTTGGGAGCACTACAGCAGGATCAGTGAGGAATGCTCTGGAGGAAATGGAGTCGGGGAGGCTACCAGGAGGGCTTTCACAGCCCTGATAAAATATTGAGCTTCCCAGCAGGGAGGGTTCACGGGGCAAGGAAGAGGGGAATAAGGAATATGTGAATTCACAAAATAAAGCTGCTCCTCTTCTCTACGCTTGTAACACAGTTAATCACCCAGGAACTCCAATCAGAGCTATTAATGTGACCACCCAAGCATAAAATTGGCTAAATGGCAGCTCGCTCTCCTTCATCTTCTAGTCCTGTCGGCTCCTGTCTGTAGCTGAAAGCAGGTCCTGAGCTGTCCGGCCCAGCTGCGCCCTTCCCCTCCTCCCCGCAGTGCCGGCCAGCCGGGCAAGCCCTCCCGCCAGCTGCCAGCCTCGGAAGGTGTCAGCGCAGGACGTGTCCAAGGAAATGGTGGCCATCAGGAAAGCAGAAGAGGCATTCGGCTGCCCGGTGCCCTTCCGCACAGCAAAGTCCTGCCATTAAATGATGTCGTGGGGTTGCACATTCACCGTCCCTCAGCTGTGCCGTGCCGGGTCTCCCGGACTCGCCTCTGGGTGCAGGAAGTGCAGTGCTTCCTCCTGCTTCGGTACCGCGTCCTGGAGCAAACACGCTTCTTGACCAGCTCTGCTAGCACCCCCGTTTCCATGCTCGCCTTTGTGATTGCCACGAGCTTCAAAGCTTTTACCGAGAGCCCATATGTGAAACTCCAAGCTGGTTTACGCAGAGGTGCAGGCAGACAGGAGCTTACAGAAAGCCGGACCTGAGCCTCCTCCAGAGCGTTACACAACACTGGTGATGCACCCAGTTGCAAGGGATTCACACCCGGCTGCACCCATCCACGCGGTCCTGGCTCACAACAAATCCTGCTTCGCCCTCTGAAGCTGGCCAGCTCCACAGGCCTGACATGAGGAAAAACGAGCAGGCAGGTACTGTGTCACCAAAGGAAACAGAACTGACCGTGGCTTGCTTGAATACAGGGGCACTGAGTTTCTGCCAAGGAGATGGCTGCTTGACAGGGGATTATCCACAGCCTCATAAAAGCAGCTGAAAGACCCCCTCACTTCAGAGTGCTCCCAACGGGGCCACTGATGTTCACTGTTTTCCCCACAGTGCATCCAAGGGCCCGCAGCAAACAGAGCTGATCCCCCCCACGTCAGCCCCCCATCTCCCCTCCTGTTCTCATGAGCCATTTCATGCAGCGCGTCCTCACCATCGTGTGGCATGTAAGCACAGATGATAAGGAGAAGGAAAAAAAAGTCATATATGGGATTAATGGAATCTCATAGAACAGCTCCAAAAAGCAACCCGTGTATCCTGCCATGGAGTCAGACCACTGCAAAGGTCCCTGCACAACCTATACACAACATTTATTAACATGCATATTCATTACTAAGCACACAAAAACATCAACCCCCACTAAAGTGTCAGATATTAGTTGAGGCCCTAATCTGATTAGAAGCGAAGTGCACACTGCTTTCCTGCATGCACAGCTCTTCTAACAGACCCGATTTTCTGCTGCTCACATCTGTGCTCACCATCATCACTGGTGTGTGGCTCCGTGCCGTTGTCATGGTCAACTTCATCGATGGTGCCTGGCTCGCTGTGTGGGCTGTCACTGAAATAAATACACCATGCTTTCAAAGAAAGAACGAGATTCTGTTCCTAAGGTACTTAGCAAAAGTAAGTTGTTCAGGGAAATTCTAGTCCCAGTGACACTGGAAAAAGTTATGATTTTAGTTTTCATAGGACTGAGATGGTCATTTTAAATCACAGCAGATCTCTGAACTTGCTTTGAGAACAGCAGACACTCACACCTTGATCTTCAGGCCCAGAACGTCACGTTCTGTTGCTTGTGCATCTTACTCATATTTGGCAAAACAAATGTAAAGTGATACCAAGTTAAAATGCTCCACTCACTCATTCACAATGAGTTTTAGCATTTTATCCTGTCCTTGCATCAGTAAGAATGGTGGCAAGTGATCAGCTTCAGGGAAGATTATGCCTCAGAAATGTATAGAGCTTGCACACAACCCAGTTCAAGTCTGTTATAAATACCGGTTTGTTAAAACTCAGATCTGAATGTCAGTTTAGAATTCCAGCATCCTCCAGACAAATGGGCAATACCACCTACACTTCTAACGTGGGAGTTTGTTTATGGAGTTTTCCTATCCTGCGTATACCAAGTAGGGCAAATTGTGCACTAGAAAGATGCGATGCAATGCAACTGCACACGGCTGATCCCATCCACAGCTAATGCAAACTCATCTGTCCTCTAACACTGACAAAACAAAAGGAACTGGTAGGTTCAGGTTAACTTCGGGCTAAGAGATTTCATCCAACTAGCAAATTATCATGGAACTATGAGACACTACTCAAAAATTCCAGCCAAGGAGGAATTTGGTTAGAATTGACTTAAAATTCTGTTTTGCTCTCAACACACTTCTGTGAATCTGCAGCTAAAATATTTTTTTTATAAATATTAATATTCCTATTGGAAACAATTGTCTCCTGAAGTTTTTACTGAGGTTTATAATGCTGAGTCAGCACGAGAAAAATGAAAAGAAAAACTCAGTGAAATTGCCTGTTTTCACCAGCAAGGCTAAAATGAAAAGCAAAGCTGACATATATAAGTAGAGACTAATTGGTTAGATGTGCAAAATCCTCTTAGTTTTATGAAGGTATTTATAACTAAGAACCACACAGACAGCCTGGTATGGAGTAAGATTCTTAACCAGTGTAAAACAGCACAAGCATATCAAATACTTATCAACTGCATACCTAATTCATAATGTTTAACCGGAATAAATGCAAAAGGGCATGCCCCTTCTGCAAAGGGGCAAATTCACTAGCACTGTGCTCAGCCTGGGCTCAGCTGCCCTGAATACTAAGTCTGAACTTCCCCCAAAGCTGTCCTCACACCTCATCCTCCCAGGGATCTGCTCCCAAGAGCCCTTTTCCTACGCTTGGGTGAGCTGGGGTCAATTCTCTGTCTACCAGGAATCAAGCCAAAACCCTGCATTTTGACACAGGTTCACTCTTAACGTACAGTGCCAGAAGATAACCCTAACAAGGGGATCTGGCTTTAAGTTCTGCAAACGATGAAGTCCTGCCCCCGCTCCTTACCAGTACTCCTCCCCTCCAGTCATGCACTTCTCGTAGACAGGTCCTTCCAGCTCTCTGTGGCTGGGGAAGATGCCCTCATGATTAATGATGATGGTTTTGATGACCTCATTGACATGGGCTTGGCAGGACACCGGATCCTGCCCATCTGGAATGTGCATCAGAGTAGGCCCAAAGCAGATGGCCAAGTTGTAGGGATCCATCATGTTCTCATCGCTGTACTGTGACAAGCTGCAAGCACAAGCGTTAGGGAGGTGCGGTGCTGACTTTCCCCACTCACTTAGAAAAGTCTCCCACCAACAAACCCCCATCACGCAAAAAAGCAATCATCACTGAACTGTACACCTTCCCTGAACACACAGCCATGGCTAGGCAAGGCTGAGGAAGGAGCAAAATACAACTCTCCATGGCAATACCAAAAAGGACTCATGCAACAGAGACAGGGAAGCCCTGAAAAAAAGGAGGGCAAGGAGAAACTAAGTGAAAGAGGAAAAAAAAACACTCACTGATTAAGGAAAGCAAAAAGATATCTCATGACAACGATGACAGCCCGGGGCAGAGTGACGATGATTTGCTGGATTTGGTGCACTCTCTCAGTGGGGTTCTCGATTTCTGGAAGACATGGATAGAAAGCACATCTTTAAACCTTCTCAGGACGAGACAACACGGCACCAGAGGGACTCGTTCCGGATCTAGTAGCCCACTATGCAAGGAAAACAATAGCCCGTTTCCAGATTTGACCCACTAAGGTTTGGCACTAAGGTCCAAGAAAAGAATCTGGGCATAGTTCTCTTCCACAGGTGAATTCATATCTATGTTCAGATTCAGTATAAACATCCATGGTTTTATTTTTAAAGTAACTGTTCATGCATTATTTAGTTCATTCCTCAACAACTATTTTTCAACGGCTTTAGTCAATATGGCACTGGAAAATGGAGCACTGCTTGGTTCTCCAGTGCAGATTTCAAAATGAGGTTTTTATTCACATTACTCTTACGGATTAACCATCAGGTCCTTCTGAGCCCTTCTGCTCCAGTCTCCCACTGGTCTCAGTGGGAATTTAATCTGAATCGATTCCAAGTCAGCACTTTAAGATTCAATTCTCTCTATAGCAGTGCACAAAGCCCACAGCTGCTATCAGAAACCAGCTTCCTTCTGTAGGAAGCAGGTGACATAGAGCTATCTTGCTTTCAGCGCCAGCTCACTCGCCCGGGGACCCTGTCCTGCCCCCCCGCCCTCCTGCAGCCCCGCACCCGGAGGATGCGAAAGCCCCCGTGCAGCAGCAGCCTCCTCCGCCTGCAGAGCTGCGAGAGCCCCGCTCCACCACCGACCTGCCCGGGGGGCTCAGCGCCGTCCTGCAGCAGCTGGCAGCACATGCCAGCCCCCAAGGCTACGGGGTTTTTAAGCTAGTATCTGCTCAATATGTTATGTAGATAGTTAATCCTGTGGCTTTTATTTTACAGAAAGCAGACAAAGAGTACCAAAGCTTTCCTGAGAGCAGTCGGCCTCAGATGCATGGAAGAGGTGCTTACTTTACTATGCTGGCTCAAACTTTGACATTTGCTAATTGTAATAAAATTCACTAAAAAGATGTAGCAGGCCTGCCATTTGTTCAAAATTCTGATCAAAATTTGGCTTTGATACAAAGATGGAAATCTTTATAATATTTAATTTTGGAAATTTTTCCTTTTAAGGAATGTATTGATCCCCTGTTATTGCTTACTGGGTTCTTTACTTCTTCAGTTTGGTTTCACTTAAGAGGACGTTTGTAAAAAAAAAAAAATCAAATAAATAAAAACTGGATAAAACCCTACAACAATAGATATCTGTTCCAAAACCCAGAGGAAGAAATTGTCTTGAAGCACTTGCCTTTTTTCATGTAGCAAAATGTTTCAACTGGCTGTAACTCAGAAGAATTAATGGAGTAATCATCAATCACTCTACAATACAGGCACAACCCTGAATGAACCTTTGCAAACAAAGTGCCTTTTCTATCCTCCTATTTCTCATGTGCATTTGAGAAATGCTTCCATGTAAACTGTCAGTCCCTCACAAGCAAAAGGAAAAGCCAGCCTTTCATCTGCCACCAGCAAGCCTGGCTTCCCCATCACATCGGCAGGGAATGATGTGGCTCTGCAGCTTCCAGGGGCGCTCAGAGGCCCTGCGACATGCGCAGCAGCACCTGCTGCAAAAACCTCGTTCAGAATACCTTACCAGGCACCAAGGGAAATCAAGGTGGCTTTGTGATGCACTGCGGTGGAGAGCCCAGACAAACTGCTCGGCTGCGTTTAACCTTTCCACCATAATTACAAAATGAGACAGAACATCCTACAGCAAGGGTGGCATTTTACTGAGCAGTGGTTCTCAAAGAAAGAAGGTTTCTTCAATCTGTTTAGGTTGGGACACCTATTACACAGCCTATATTTATGTGGCAGAAAATCAGATGCACTTAAGGTCAGATTTTTAATGGGAACGAGGCACTTCATTTAAAATCTATCCTTAATCAAAAGGTAGCAACAGCAGCAGGAAAAGAAAGGAAAGATGAGGAAAAGGAAGATTCTTGCTAAAATAAAAAAAAAAAAACAGAGAAAGAAAGAAAAGAATACTATCCAGAAAATTAACAGATTATGTTTGCAATGAAAAGCTCCCAAAAGCTTAATAAATTGTGCAAATTGGCATTAATTAGGGATGGTTCCAAAGCACAAGCCTATCTGCAAGCATACAGACAGTCACATCACCAAGCACCAGGCTTATTTCCTGGCACCGAAGTGGACCCGTTCCCTTCTCTGGGGGCTGTGCCCGCTCAGGGTCCCTGCTCTGCCTGCTGCAAGCCCCTTGGGGAGGGCAGCCAGAGTGAGCACTGCAAGCCAGGCTAAAAATCCCTGTCCAGGGCACAAAACTGGTACAGAAACAGCTTCCTTTGTTTGCTGTGTTACAGGTGTGCTGCGCTGTTTTACACATCAAAACTGAAAGGCAACAGCAAATTTCCTAAAGCTACTATAGAAAACAACTGTTCTTGAAAAATAAGAGCACATTCTTCTCCTTCTGGAACAAGCCCATCCCTGTGTCATTCCCCTCTAGGTATCATCTGTCTGTCTTGACATCACTAAATCTCTAGCAGTTATGCACATTAAGAAGGGGGGAAGGAGCCATGAGCATTGAAAGCCAAACGAAGGACTTCAGCACATGTTCAGCAGTCAGTCTGCCTGAAGCTACCCACGTACCAAGACACTCGAACCCCCAAACAACCCCGACGCTTCTCCTGTAAAATAGTCATCCTGTAGCCAAAGCGCACAACACGCTCCTCCATCATCTCTGAAACATCAAATTCATTCTGTCTTCTTCCTTTCCCCCAGGGGAGTAATTTCCATGACTTGCCAATAAATAAATGTCATCACTACAAGGTACTGAGAGAAATAAACCCCAGCTGGGATATCTGTTTCTTCAGTTGCAGAGGAACAAGTGGAGCTGGGAGGGGAATTCAGGACAGAACAAGAAGAAACTAGACTCTCCCTGACATCAATCCCAGACCCTTCATGATTAAAATTGCTCAGCTTCTACCTCTGCTCACATCCCAAAGTACTTTCTGGTTTTCTTTGGGATGGGAAATGCACATAGCAAACACTTGGAGAACAGCTGATCGAGTGAGGGTGAAACCAAGTCTGCAGAGCCAAGGGTCAGAGAAGCTTTGTGAGTAACCACGAGTTATTGACCTTCACTACATTTAGTAGAAGGCACCAAGCTAAAGCAGCAAAACCCCTTTGGGTCCCAGGAGCCATAGCTGCATGACGCTTGATGGGCAGGCACAGGAACCACCATTCCCTACAGAGATCTGTGCAGGCAGGACAGCAGCCGACCCTGTTCAAGCAATTAACGACCCCTCATGCAACCCACAAATGTGTATACGGGCTTGCTGCATGTGCAGCCCACTGGCCTAAGCTTGGAGGTGACTCTCTGGTGATCCTCATGATACTAGGAAGACTTTAAAAGAGCCACAGCAAGATGTTTTACCTCTCCCTCACCTCCAGCACTGCAAATTCACACCCTTAATGTCTTTTCCTAACAGCTTCCACTGCAGACCTATAACCTTTCTTACAGCCTAAGTTGCTATTAGCAAAACTCAGGTGTACTTACTCCCCGTTTATTGTTTCTTGTCCCACCCTATTCGCTGAGAAGAGCTGCCACATGTACTTACTTATAGTAGATATCAAATCTTGAAACCTTTCCTTAGGAAAGAGGGGGTTTTCCAGTCCTCGGAAATACAGCTTCAAGACTCCAGCCACTGAATTAATGTCACGTTCATTTTGATCATCAGCAAGGGGATCTTCACCTGCCCAGGGAAGAGTTTTTATTTCCAGCATTACTGTCAAGTTGGACTAACACAGCAAGTGTTTTTTACTAACTCAGCAGAAACCTAAAATTTCTATGCTATGCATTTTGCCAGCAAGAGGAGAGTTTAATAAGGCACCTGCTACACAGCATCATGCTGAGACATGCTATAGCCCTACCTACAAAAAACCAGTTTATTGTGGAGATTTTAAACCTTTCCGGAAGATGTTACTGTTCAGTTCTCCTTCACCGTTTCCAGCCCAGTGCATTTTTGCATTTACAGCAACAGCTCAGAGAGCTGAGCAGATCTGAACAATGGTGGGTGAAAGCCTGAGAAGACAGGCTTGGCTGGAGGATGCAATTATGCCTCTGGAATAGACTGAATGGTTCTGGATAGCATTGTGCTGACTTAAATCTATAAAGGGCTTTCAAAACCTAAGGGATTTGGATACTAATTCCTCTTAAATTGGATGTGCAAATCTGCCAGCCTTTGACAATCCCACCACTGCCTTATTCATTGGCCTGGCCACCTTCACCTCGATCCTTCCGATGCTGCTCAAAGATTAATGCCATGGAGGCCATTACCCCCATCTAGACTGCCCCTTTCACAGCTTCACCTTCACTCAGTGACAGCAGGATTGCTCTGCCCTGTCTTGCCAGCCTTTCACCTTCGATGTGATTTTCTCAACAGAATCAGTGGCAACTCCACAACCGACACTGCCACCAGGTACACATAGGAGTGCTGCTCCTTCCTTGACAAACCGCTGCAGGAGGGAGGAAAATGGATCCCAAACAATTTTATGGCTCTCATCTGAGGCTTTCATGCTCTTAATTAATGACTGTGGAAAATACCTCTGCACCTACCCCTCCTTCTCATGCTCCTTCCCTAAGTGACTCTTTGCTATTGCTGCAGATACAATACTAAGATACCTAGAAGGGGATAGTTAAAACCTCCTCGTGTCTCGTAGCAGAAAGGCCTTTAGCACAGGCTTTACACAATGTCTAATGCATCCAGCACACACTGAAACTCCCATCAACAATCTCTGCTCCGACACAGTGTCCCAGCTGTAGCTGCACACCCTGGCAACACACCTCTCTCAAACGAATTCTTGATGTCGTTGACTTCCACCTGGGAGCCAGGGACTCTGAAAATGCCCTGCTGCTGAAGGCCTGGAAAAGAACAAAGTTTTAGAAAAGATTTCTGTAACTGTTACATGGTACTTTCTGGTAAAGAACAGCAGAAACTAGGAGTCTGTGCACCCGGAAAGGCTCAGAGCAAGAAGGGGACAGCCTGCTACGATTCATTTCTGCTCATATTCTCCAATCAAGGCCGCCCAGATCAAAGTGTTGAAAGGGGTCCCGTTGGCCTGGGGCCTGAGCGAACAATTTAACCTGCGTAAGTGCTAACAAAACCTAAATATTTGCCAGTCATCCAATGCTACATCACGGCCAATGCCATTGTAATTATAACCTGAGCCCATGTAGGAAGGGCAGCGGGCATCTCTACTATATTTCACGGCTAATTACAACTACTTAATTTCCTTTGCAGAAAGTTTTTGTTGATATTACTGAATCAACTTACCGTACAAATTGATGTAACGAATGCAGCTTTCTACTACAAGTGGAATAGCCTGTCCTGAATCCTTCATGAAAGGAAAGGAAAAAGGAAAAAATTACTGGTTTATTGATAACAAGGCACAGGAAATGCATTAAAGATTGCAAAAACAGAGGTTGGAAAATCAGTGCCATTGAGTTTAGTAAGAGAACAGGCAAGAAAAGGAGGTGTTACACACATCAAGCCATCAAAAAGTGCTGAGTATGCTACGTGCGGTCAATTATGCACAAAAAAGCTTTCACTAAAGTGTGTGAAAGACTGCTGCTCACTATCTGGTTGAGACAGGGGACTGATGCAACAGGATCACAGCTATTCCATTTCAAAGGTGTAATGCTGAGCTGAAATAAAACTTGTGCTATACCTGTCTGATGAAATAAGCTTCCAGTAACAGAGCTTACAACAATATTTCCACCTAAAGAAAGAGCCATTGTCAGCAGATGCTAAGAAAAAAAAAAAACCAAAACACCACAGCATATGAAATGAACTACCTGTATCTGAACCTGCAATGGTTTTGGCTTTTGTTTCAAAGCTGCTTCTCTCCAGACCCCTCGTGGAAGGAGCTCAAGGGGCAATGTGAGCTGACTGCCTAAGCAGACATTTATTTTCCTTAGGGAAAAACTGGTTGTTTTTTTCCAGTAGAGTACTGTTGCATCTCTCTGGTTAATTTACTCCGCCTCGTAGACGGGCCTCTAGTAAATACCTGATTTCTGGTTCGCGCATTCCTCCTTCCTCTGAGAACACAAAAAAGCAGCAGAGCGGGGAAAAAAGAAAAGATTAAGCAAGGATAAGTTCAGTTAGAGGTAAGCATCTCTTTCGGAGGCCATGAACGCTCAAATGCAATGGCAGCTTAGCAAGGTCCAACCCAGGCCTTCAGGCTGTCCACCCTCCCTCCCAAACCCCGTTTGGCACGCTGCACCCGAGCCTCAGCGACCGGCAGAAAGAGCCTCTCGGATTTCTTCCCTCCCTGAATCTGTGGCACTTGCAGGAGCCGGAGGACAGGGACGGCCCCTGCCCGGGCGCAGGCAAAGCTCCGGGGAGAGCCGCCCCGGCGCGGGGGCACCGGGCAGCCAGCCGCACGTCCCCCACGGCGGCGCGTGGTCCCCAGCCTCGAGGACAACGCCAGCAGCACGGCACCGTCCCGCAAGGACTCTCCGCTGGCACAGGACGCCCATCCGCTCAGAGAGATTTCCACCGCAGATAATTCCTCCTCCGCAGTGCTGAACAGGCTGGGCTTTAATGAGCATTACTTTTTTAAAAATCAGTTTAAGTAAGGAATAATTACAAGTATTAAAGAGATTACCGGCTTTGTCAGTCAGGCCTGTACATTACTTGTGACAGTGAACTGTTTATAAACTGCTCTTAGGCTTATGGTTGCACTAAAAGAGCCTAAGAGAATAATAAATCAGAGCCGGACAATGCCTATTAGTTTACCTAATCCAATAGTTTGTCACTACTGCTTCCTACAGTATTTTCACTAAAGCTTTCTTCACCGCAGGATTAAACTCTCTGAGCAACTGGAACAGCATCGCTTCCTTGGGAAATCCTTCCAGCAGCCAGGCAATAGCAACGTGCTGGATTTTGGAGGATCGGCAGCTAGATAGCTAGAGGTATCCTTTGGGACAAATCCCACATCCACATCTCTTCATTTTTCTCATCAGATCTCTCCTTCTGGGTAATTTCCCAGGACGAGCAGGGCCAAATGCCCCCTTCCATTGGGACTGCACCGGTATTAATTGAGTTCATCTGAGTTCACCCCAGCTTAAGTGAAGAAAATACTTTGGCCCACATTTACGAAGGCCGCACGCTGCATGTTATCAGTGACAGTTTGAGGAGACCACTCAGCAGCCATTTAGGAATCGCTTTGCTCCAGTGCTGGAAGCTGAGCCCAGGGCCCCAGCTGAGTGCGGACGGGCACCGGCGTGGGTCACAGTCAGCGTGCAAGCTGCAGCGTCTCCTCTCCTGGTGCCTTCAGAGGCAATGGCCTCCCACGGGAGAGGCTTACGGCTCCACACTGACAGGGCTCTCGCCCGTCCTCCCCGTGGGTTAACCCTCCTCTTCGGGCTGCGGGCAGCGGCCTTCCGACTCCCAGGAGGTACCAAGCTGCACAAGAGGGCCTCAGCCACCTACCAGCAGCTGGCACTGAGATGAGCCAGCTGGGCTGGTTATTATTAATATATTTTGTTTAAGGATGAGGATAGCTTGTTTAGCCTCCCACACAGCCACCCATACACACGGTATTTCAATTCAAGGCTTCCAGTCCTTACAACTGGGAGACACTTTCTGGGCACTTATGAGTCATTTTATCTTCTTCCTCAGCCACGGGGGAAGACGGCCACCAAAAATGTGCTGAAAAAGGGAAGGCGGGGGGATCTGTTGATCCTTTGAGAGCGCTGGGCTGGGTTGCCCTTGCTGTCTGATCCTCCTCCCCAGGACGGGTGGAAGCAGCGCCGGACAACAGGGACACTCGGCCAAGGGCACCTCGCACCGCACAGCCGGCCAGCACGGCCGACGGCCACCAGCCATGAGGGTCGTCGCTGCTACCCTCGCCCCGGGGCACGCAGGTGGCGACGGGATGGGCGACGCAAGGAACGCGCGAGGGGTGAGGACAGCTACGGAGAGAAATCGTCACGGAGGCAAAGCGCGTGCTGGCCAGGTCAACTGGGTGCAGGGCGGACCTGAGAGACCCCGCCGAGGAAGGAAAGCAGCCAGCAGTTAGGACAGGAAAGCCACCATTACATTCACAGCGTTCATAAACTCTTACTGTCAGCCAGCGAGTACCTTAATGAACGTTTCCATATTGCCGTTAAAGAGTTTATGATTATAGACTGAGAGAGGCCTAGGTCTCCTCATTTTCTGTGGCTTAGGGGGAAGACATGGGGGCCTGGGAGAAAATGGAACAAAATAAATCAACAAAACACCAACATAAATGCAATGACAGGGTGCGATCTCAAAGGTTATGACCGAGAATAAGAAATAAACAGAAAAATCCCTCTGTGAGGAGTCGACATGCGGCTCCATGCACTCTGCAGCCGCTCACTCTTCAGCATTCCCCCCGCTGCGTCCCCCCGCCAGGCACTGCTCCACTGGGAGCCAGGGGACCTGCAAAGAGCTCAGCTCCACTCCTCCGCATCGTGCACAGTGCCCGCAGCTCCTGGGGACGTGCCCTCTCCAAAGCCCTTTCCAGCAGCCTGGGGCGGGCTACCCTAGCACTAACTCGGCTAACTCATTTTGGAGCCAGTGCTGCAATGGCCTCGCTTCTGCAGGTCCCAAAGACCAGGCTGAGCGCGGGTGCAGCTGGCAGGCATCTGAACGGGCAGCAGAGCTAACGTGTAGGCAGCCCAGAGCAAAATCAGAACTGTTCGCTATATGCTGTACACATAATTTCAAGTCAAGGTCGAGACTGCAGCCTTTAAGTAATAAACTGAAATTAATCTTGATAATAGAAACATTTAATAGCAATAAGCCAACCTACCCATTACTTTCTATCCCCAAAATCTTCCAGTATTTCCCTATGAGACAGAGTCTAACCTCAGCTGCAGCCACATACAGCAATCTAACTAGCTGTTGCTACAGCCCTCCTGAAGAGTCCCTAGGTTCCTACTGTAAAAAACAAGTCATCTCCAGAAATTAGTGACAGAGCAGTAACTATACCAACAACCACAGCTTGAATGAACGATGGATGATCAGGAATTCTCTTCATGCAGAACTCGCTTCGTTCAAGCCAGAGAGTAATAAAGCTGCTAAACACAGCTGGTCACAACTGTCTTTGGTACCCACGATCTGCAGATACAATTCTCCCTCTCTGAGATGCCAAATATCAAAACTGCTGCTCAGTGTTAGTGCTAGTACCAGGGATGACATTTTATAAGTAAAACAAAGGCGTTGGTGCTCAGCAGGATTTTTAACACCTGCCTCCTACCTCCACCAGCTCAGCACTGTCAGCTGGAAAAAGCACCAAAAGCAGGTGAAGAGTTCAACTGATTCCTTGATGTATCCAAACTAAACCACAGCTACCCCTGGAAAACACTGGGGTATTCCTGTTTATTCCTAAATGGACCTCATTCTGCTCATAGATGGCCAGGAAGAGGAAAGTGGGAACACCTCCACCTCGCTGTAGCTAACTTCTGTTTGGGAGACATCCACAGGGATGAGAATGGTCTTTTTCATCTTTCTGGCAGGCATTCCCAAGATTCAAACCACCAAACAGAAAGGTGAGCCCAGGCAACACACACGAGCAAACCCACCAGCACCTCTGTTAGAACGAAAAAGGTAGGCATGCGCATTAGGAAGTGGTGTGACCCTGCCCCTACTAGCTAGTGACTGAGGGTCCTCATCAGTCACAGGGAACTGACCTTGAAGACCCTTGTTAACTTCAACACGGCTAACAGACACCTATTGCTTCTGGAAATGAGGCCATGGAAACGTGTGACTTATTTTAGTGCAGTGATCAGGACTTTGGAGGGCTGCTTTCATTAATGCTATTTGCATTTTGATTTCTTCTTCTGATAATGAAGGACATTAAGACCGAAGTGCCTAGATCTAGAAAAGGGAGAAAAATAGCGTAAAATGTCTGATCGATTTCTGATCTGTCCGCTACCTCCAGGCTATACTGATGTCTGTAGAGGAGAGATCATGACTGCAAACAAAAATGAGTGCTAGGAGCCTTCATGCAGAAGTTCTCACAGAGCAGAGTCACATGGACACGTACAATTTACACAGAGCTACAATGCAAAGGTGACAGTTGTGATCCGCTGGTTCCTTAATCAGATGCCTTTAATTAAGCAATTTGACCCTACGCTCCTGTAACTTCCAGCCGCTCCTTCAGCTGGTAAATGAGGAGCAGGAATGACTGCTGTCCATTCAAGTGCCCACCTGACTCTCAGCTGAGCAGCCCTGTGCTGCAGACTGGAGACCCAGTGCTGTTTGCTGCCGTGTAATCTCCTCTCCCCGGCTGGTGCCCTGGCGCAAGGCGGCCGGGGCAGCCTGGCCTCCGGCTCTATCTGGTGGGAAGGTTGTTCAGCCTACACTTACAGCACTGCCTCACACAAGAAGGAGATTGCCTCTTGTTTGTTTTCCTTTGTGAAGTAAAAGCAACTGCTGGAAGAAAAGCAAACAGAAGCAGCAGGGAGTTGTGCCATCATCCCTCATGTAGGAGGCTATTATTCGTTCCTTTGTTTTGGCCTGCGACACCACCACCCCATGGGCACCCACTCCTGGTAAACAAAGAACTCAAGAGCAAATTCTCCCTGTGGTTCTACCTAGCCGTTTGGGTGTGCTTTCCTCAACCAGCTCAGCAGACAGCCCTGCCTGACACAGCCAAAGGACCGGAGCTCACCTCACGGGCTGCTTGCAAACACACCTGGGGCACGGCGGGTCTCAGGGTGCTGTAGGACAGCTCTCCTGGGACCCGCGAGGAGAGCCGGCGATTGCAGCGTGGGCAGCCCCGCCGTGATGGCTGATCCGAACGGGACCTCAAGCATGGGCAAGAGCAGCTCCTTGGAGCGCGTCAGTGCAGGGATACACTGTGCAGTCCCCGCTCTCTGGCCCATGCGAGGCAGGAAAGGCTCCTCTTTGCCCTGACGGCATCTCACTGCCCTGCCCTGCGGCCCCAGTGGGTGCCCAGCCCCGACGCCGCTCTCAGCCTGGCGCCGGCAGCACAGTCCCCCTCCAGCCAGAAGGCAAGAGATTGCAAAGCACCCTGCTGCCCCGCTGCCCTCTGCTAAGGCAGCCTCTTTCCTGCCTGGAAAGGCAGCCCAGGCTTCGCCATCTGCTTCGGCATTTCTGACACAGAATGGGGTTTTTTTTTGCTGGTACTGCAAATTTTATTAAACACTGAAACAGGGCTGTAAAAAGATAACACAGGGAGAGGTTGTAGATGTTCTGGGGAGATGTTTGGAGGCTTTGCTGGCCCAGGTCTTGCTGCCAGAAAACCAGCACACTCATAGCAAGCCACCAGAGCTCTGTGGAGATGCTTTATGGACTGGACACAGATCAAAGCCTCCTCCCTGTTACACTCACCCCTAGCACTATTCTCCTGCTGCGGAGGGATGAAAGTCTGTGAATACAGGCATGCTCTGCACTCCTAGGCAAAGAAGCTGGAGCTGGGAGAGGCTTTCGGGGACATATCAAAGTCCGCAAATGAACAGGGATGGTGGGGAGTGGGCGGACACCCTTGTGTTGCACTGTCTGAACACAACCCAACCTCAGCTATGCTACAAGGCACTGCACCGTGCTGACACAGCACTTCCAGGCACTTCAGAGCCAGTCAGCCAGAAATTACACTGCAGCAAAAACAAGGGCCTGTTTGTCATCAGCCTAATTAATCCACTTCAGGCAATGCAGCTGAGAAGCAGGGCAGTGATGTGGGGAGCCTGGGATTGCCTGCCCTCCAGTCTGCCAGCACAGGGCAGCTGGAAGATGGTTAAATCCCAACCCCATCAAGCTGTATCAGTAGCAAAGCAAACAACCCTTCCCATGGCCACCCTCCTCCTGCCAGAGCGAGCCCTTCCCAGCAGCAGATGAAGTGGAAGAAACTGCTCACCTGGTTGTTCCGCATTCAGCTCTTTCACCTATAAGAAACACAAGTTTCCATCATCTCTCCACATTAGTCACCACCAAATGGCTGTAAAGACACATTCACGCAGGCACTCACACACTCACTTCTGGTTCTGTAAGCCCCGAGTTAATGGCTTCTGGCAAAAAGCAGCTGAATGTGCCCGAGGGCCCCACAGGTTGGGGAGATGCTGAGCTGGTTGTTATACAAGCCCCCACCACTAAAAACCATATTAGAAATCCAAGACTCGGCCACAAGAGATGGAAAGTGTCTTCAATTCCCACTGATATTAAAGGTTCATTTGCAATATGAAGCCCATCTTGTAAATAACCAGATGCACTGCAGGTCCTCTGCAATAAGTGCTCATTTTCACTAGCTGGGGATTGGCCAAACCCAAGCAGAAAAGGGGCAGTCTGATAAGGGCTGAAGCCCCCGGGGAGGCCGCTGAGATTATCCAGCTGCCTCATGGAGGACCACTAATAGCACCTGAATGCAGCGGAGTATTCAGTTCCCTGGCTTTTCCTGTGAGATAACAGCCCATCTAATCACCATCAGGCAGACTCTATTCTGGCTGTCAATATTCTCATTCCCTTCGTGTATTTTTAGTGCTTGGATTTCATATAAACGGCAGCATATCACCACTGATACGATCTGTTAATTTTTTAAAGTATTTGTCAATCCACTGAAAAAAACTAAACTAATTTCACATGCTGTTTGTGCCTTTCTCCCAAGGCCAGGAAAGCTGATTTATTCTTCCTTTTTCTAAGACACATAAAAGGAAGCATTTGGCTGCACATGCCTCCTTCCTGCTCTCCCTTGGCACCTGCGGAAAGCAAGCTTGCAGCCAATTCCTCACTGAAAAAGCAAAGAATTCCACACGACTGTTTTGCAAATCCAGACTTCTTCCTAATGAGAATCAGCTCATGCTGAAACGTAGCATTTGGCATTTCTGGGCTAAATATTTGCTGAACGCCTACATAGCAGGATGATCCCACAGCCTGGGAGAAATTCAGAAAGTTTTCATGTGAAAATCTTCCACGGCTGCTTTTGCACAACTCCAGAGAATTAAAATGCCTGACCCTACAGTCTTCCTCTTAAGTATGGCATTGGTATGGCTCTTGTGTGAGAGACCAGGATGGTGATCAATCTTCAACAGATTCATCACTTCTTGCACCAATCCACAGGAGTCTGAGCACTGTATCCAATAAACAGAGCTCTTTTCCATATCAAGATCTGTGATCTCTGGGAAGAGCTCAGATGGGTCCAATTTCTGCAAAGCACACACTCCATCCCCCTTGCCCACGTCAAAGCCTGAACTCAGACCCAGCAGCGGGGAGCCCTGTAACCTACCAAGCCTCACACAACCCCTGCCACGCTGCTGCGGAACAGGACGACCTCGGTGGGGATGCAGAAGGGCTGAAACCAACCTGCTATGCAGGGTGATAAGGGGTTAAGGCAGCTACAGAGAGTACTGAAACTCCTGGGAAAAGAAATACGTTAATGGACCTCAATGTATCTATCTACCCTTGCAGCCTTCCTTGTGCTTGCATTTTGTGCCTTGACTTGGCTCATTGTTCACTGAGTGGAACATACCACAGGACCTAACTAGAAGGTGGATTTTAAGGCTAAATAAATTTGGCAGAGAAAATATGTTTGGCAAAATAGCCAACAAAAAGCTTTTTTTTTTTTTTTTTTTCTAACTCTGAGGAGTCTAACTTTTGTATTGTTAAAACAGTACCATGGACCATTTGTGTATTTTAAGCTACATTCTCTCCCGTTGGTGAATCAGGACAATAACTCATCTCCATCATCTTTACACTGGAAATAATGCAATTTTTTAAAACCCTTTAAAAGAGCTAAAATCTTCTCCCAGAGACATGGTTGCACATCACTACTCCAGCAGTGGTGGATCCCACCTGGAGCCACTCACTTCTGCCTCCCTTGGAAGTTACTGCCCCCTCTGTTGTATGAAGCCTGTTTGTGTGTATGTGCTCTAAACCAAACTTGTGAAATTATCTGGGGTAACAAAAGCCCGCTATAGAAAAGTTAGTTTAAGAACAAGGATGACTTTGCAGTTCTGGTTTAGAGCAAGTCAAAAACCTATGGCCAGGGGGCAAGGAGCCTATTAAATCAGCAAGGCTGCTGGCAAATCTGTAACATAGAAGCACAGCATCAAGGACAAGAAAATACATGTGTTCAGGGCTGCACTAAGAGGGGAAGAAGGGGACAGAAAAGAAAAAGGCAGAGGGTTGGAGTGGGTAGGAATTTCTTTGCTGCTGGAGAAGTAACACAGCACTTTGGCACACAGTGTAAGATTCAAACAAATTTCTCCATGTCCACTCCCAAAAAATGATGGGAAAAGAATAATATTCCAAGGAAATTATGATTTTGCATGTCACTGGTTAAACTTAGTAGTAGCAGCCAACCACAGAAGCCATCAGTCACTCAGGAAAACACAGACAGCAGGTAAGACTGAAAGATGACGCCTGGTTTAAAATCGTCTCATGTGACGGGAGGTTCCTCCCTGGACCTAACCCCGCAACTCACCTTCTCCAAGAGTCTGCTTCAGCAAATCGTGTTTAGCCTGGAGCTTCGTGATAAGGTTACTGCCATTCAAATACTCTTTAAATTTCTGGAATTAAAAATAAAACAAACAGGGTGAGTTAAGACTCTTGGCAAAAATAGTCCATAATTGATGTACACTTTTGCCCGGGGGGCTGCTGGAGGGGGCTCGGCGAGGCTGACAGGCTCTAACAAACCAGACGTCAGATGCGCTGCAGGGCTGAGCACAGTCTAATCACTTCTCACTGCTCCAGCCACAGTCCTGATGATCTTATTAGCCCGGTCTCCTTGGTGCTGCACCTCCTGCCTGGGAACGCAAGGAGGTCCAAAGAAAAGAGTTCAAAGCAAGCTTTCTTTTGTCAGGCTTCTGGGAATAGCCTGGAAAATCAAAGAGGCTTTCCCTCCACTGACAGGCGCTTTGCCTTTGTGCAAACAAGTGATGCAGAGCGAGAACTCCCAGTGCATGAGACCTTCCCAGGTCAGGGACCATCAGACACTTTATGCACTGGGCAACACTAACTGTGCAGCACAACTTCTCATTTCGTTGTGAGACTGCATGACACCCAGTAACACTCAAGAGCAAGCAATTTTACAGATAAGAGGAGCGAGGGAGACAGAGATGGAAAATGAAAGACAGAGAATGGGGAAGATGAAATTCCTGCAAAAAGCATTAAAAAAAGCTCCACGCACAACTCAAAATGAAAACTGCAATTTTTTTCCCGCTGAATTGGAATACTAATACTGTTAAGAGAAAGTAGAAGCTTTTCTATGCATGTGTAATATATCACAAGATGCTATTAACTTTAGCCTACTAACCATGCTTAAATGAGGGCTACTTCTGCTGAACTGATGGCTTATTACTTACATGTCAAGGACTACAACAGAGAACCTTAGATCTGCCTGGAAGTGAAGTACCGGACCAAGGCTGCAGGGGAGACACAGCACAGCTGCCTCTACCCAGCACGCACACAACAGTGAGGCACTGTAAAGCCAGGCTGTCGCAGCTTCCTCCAACACCCTGCACAAGATGCAAATTACCATTTAGTTCATCCAGGGGCCAAGGGCACATTTTAGCCGTGTAGGCCAGAAAAGGAAGGCTTGACTGATGGTTCAAAATTGTAAAGGCCTCCAGGAACAGCCACTGAATGGTGACACACTGCGAGGCTGGCTGGAGTCTGCTGCCCTGCTCTGAGCCACTCCTACTGAGTTCTGTAAGTTTTTGGTCACAACTGGTTGCTCCAGTTGTTCCTTCAAAAAGGAGAACAAGGCATAGGGATTGTCAGTCCCTATGCACTGCCCTGCCACTGAAAAATGCATTCCAAACCCAAATCAGACAGAAGACAAATACTTGAAGAGACTGAATTGGTTCTTGCTCTTCACTAATGAGCACTTAAAATGGGACTCAGCCCTAGCAATTAATACTTTGTGTCCTGCATCGCATGAGATGAGACTCACTGTAAAATAGAACATTTCAGTTTCCTGCTGGTTGGCTCTCCTCTTGGCGATGTTTATTTTACTCATGTAGGTCTCTGATGCAGCTGATTTGACCGACTCAGTGGAGCGACTATGCTGGAAGGCATCTGAAACATCAAAATCTTCCACTGTCAGCATGTCCTGCAAAGTCTGCATTGTAGCATCCAGAGTTTTTCGTACCTATCAGAAATAGAAGACAGCATAGTTTTGAAGCAAACTGGGAAAGTGACACATCTTGAGCCAAAACAACTGGCCAACAGGCAGCTCCTAAGTACTGGGCTTGCTCTTGCACTAGCTGGAGTCAATGGGCACTCTCAGCAGTCGCTGGAAGGACTCCACACCTGAGCACACCAGAAAACCCCCTGCGCAACAGGCAAAAGGCTCCACAATGCTGCCTACAAGGCCAAACATGAGACCGAGAGCAACTTCTTACCTCTTCATTCTCTATCTTGAGGGTGGCTAGTCGCGACTGCAGCTGGTGGTACCGCATCAGCAACTCGGTCTGCACAGGCTGCTGGGCGCTGACCTGACACACCTGAGACAGGAGCAGTTCCAGAAGAGAGACAGGAGAGCATTCAGTGGGTCGTGCACTGATCAGGCATACACATTTAAATACCTAAATGATTCTCTCCAGCACCCACAAGCTCCTCGCAGCCTCCCTGGAGGCTCTGTTGCCCAGTTTCTAATCAGCAGTGCCCTGGACCCAGGCCAGCACAAGACATTTTCTACCCGGCATTTGAAAGCTGCGCTCTGAAGTCTTCCAATTACAGCAGGTAAATCAAAGCTCCACTTTACAAATCTGTTGGGCAGTTCAGCTGAGAATCAAACTACAGGCTTCCTAATTGGGAGAGATATGGAGCCAAGCGTCTCATTAAGAAAGGAAACAAGAATAGCAGCGTGTGAAGACAGCACAGAGGGATAAGGAGTCAGAAATAATTTAACGGTGATGGTTAAGAAGAGGAGGAAGCCAGGTCAGGCCAGGCCAGGCTGTGAGGCACCTCTGTAGCCCCTCGGGTGAGTACACTACCTCATCCCCCATGTGAGGCTGGAACTCGAACTTCAGTGGAGGGCAGAAGACCTGGTTGCACATGTCCATGATGGTGTGCTTGTCGCTCCGTGCATCCAGGTTGTCCACAGCATTCTCAATGATGTCCAGGCCCTCATGGCGGGAGGTTTCCAGGTTGTACTCGGCAGACAGGTACGTCCTGAATGTCCGAGCGAGGCTGGCGTGGAATCCCAGATCACAGCACTGAGAAACACCGAGGAAGGGTCTGGTCACACAAACACTCCCACCCTTGTTCTGGAGGGTCATGTGTACATTAAACACCCCAAAAAGCATTTTATGTCCCAGAGAAACACGAGCCCTGTTGTACCGGGGTATATTTAACAGCATACTGCAATACCATGTGAAAAGGCAAGAAGGAAAGAGGACTCAAGGAGAAAAGGTATGAGGGAACAAACAGGCAGACAGTACATTGACCCTGTGCTGGACCCTCGCCACGACACCAGGGTTTAATACCCTTCATTTTACTGGGAAGGGAACAGGATCTTCTCAGACGACACAGAGGAAAAGAATCGCACGGTTCTCCCTGGCTACCCACTCAGCCCCAGGGCCAGCGTGACCACAGGGGCCCCGCAGATGGCAAAACCTGTGCCCTGCAGAGGCCCCCAGGGTAAGAAGTGGCTGGAGGGCCTGGGCTACTGCTTGTCCCCAGCGCTTTCCTCCTCGCCTTGTGAACTGCCCTGCAAGCGCTTTTTACACAAAGAAACCATTTCCCACAGTTACCAAATACAGACGGGTGTTCAAGCAAGGTGGCACTGAAAAACATGTCCTGCTGTATGTGCAAACCCTTTTAGCCTTGCTAGGAAACTGCCTTCCTCTCTCACAACAGAGCAGCTTCTCATGCCTAACTGATTGTTCTCATGTTCACCTTGGGGAAAATGATAAAACTCGGAGCTAATTGCTGCCAAAATACTGTACCTTAGACAAAAGCCTGTTTTTAAACTCTCTTCTCAATGTAATTGAGTTTGGCATGTTAAGTATAGCAACAGCATAGGGATTTGCTGCTATGAATGCTTCATCACAGCTGAGCAAAAAGCAACTCTTAGCAACCCTCCTCCCAGTCCCCAACAGGAGCCCTGACACCGTGCAAACCTCCGCAGGGCTCTGCTCTGACTGGCTGGCTCTGCTGCGAGCAGGGGCCCCAGAAGTGGGGGCAAAGACGGGCACCAAAGAAGCACCCAAAATCTGGAAGCCAATAAATGTTTTTCTGCGGGGAAAGGCAAGACAGAGAGGATGCTGGAAGCAGGAGGAGCACAACGCATCAGCCTGCGCCACACTTGTGGGGCTGTAAGAAGAGTGTGGCGAAACAGAAGGGCTGCAGTCCAAAACTGAAGCACATCTACTTCTGGGACCTAAGAGAGGGCTGGAGTTCCTGACAGAGGACATAAAGTTAGCTAATGATGGCTTTATCCTCTGTAAGGAGTTTCATAATCATGTGTCCCCAGCACACTCATTTCTGTCTCCTGGCACAGCACGGGTACAGCTGCGGGGCACGGCACGGCGCACCCCGGTCGGCACAGGCGGTTAGCAGAGCGGTACACTCACAGTCTGAGGCTGTTCAGGTACCTCTGCACACAAGCACCGTGATCTGCAGAGATATACCCAGGCACAGGAGAGCTGTAGGTCATAGGGATGCCTCCATGGGAAAAAAAGAGGGACCCTGGGAGAAATACCTCCCGTGGCACGTAGGACCAAACTAACCCTTGCCAGCGAATTACTCTCATTACATGAAAACTACCACAGGGCAATTCATATCACAGATATTAAGACACTTTGCTGCTACACAGATTAAAGAATGAGTAGGAAGTCCTCACTGTCTGAGCTGTAACCAAAACCACCCCAGCACGGCATGGGCAGGCGTGTGGTGAGCTTGCTTCAACCCCAGCGTAGCCCCACCAAAATCACTGCCAGGAGGAGCAGCATGGCACAAAAAGATACAGAAAAGAGTAGAAAGATTGCTAGTGTAATCTCAATGACCCAAAACGAGACCAACTTCTCCACAGCAGCAGAACTCCTTGCTAGGAGCTGCCATTTCGGAGGCACCTTCTCCAGCAATACAGCGCCAACAGGCATTACTGAACTGATGTAGAAAAGCACAAAAAATGATTCTGCATCAGAACATCAGTACTGATAAACTCGAAGTGAAATATGAAAACTCAGCTGGTACCACAAGCAGCTCCAACCAAAGAAGTCATCTTGTGATTTCTGCCGATCTGAAGAGACAACCCTCAGCTTGGATCACGTCACACACAGAGCTGTATTTGGTTTAGTCTGTGATAAAAGCAGCAGTAAAACCACAACGGGCCAATTCCTACTCGCAGATACACGATCCAGTCTTTTAAAGAAGTGAAACTACACATGCGATAATGAGGATTTTTGCAGGAACTATCGAATGGTTATAATCCACCATTTATCCTGCTTCTATTTAGCTTCTAATCTTATTAGTTGAAAACATGGGCAGTTAAGGACTAGTATAGCTCTGCCTTCATGAATCAGCAAGAAGCACAAAAAACGAGGAATCGGGACAAATTTCTATTCACCGCCTGGGGCGAAACCTCATTCTAGCACTGCAAGTCTCTCCCATGAGACAATTTGAGCATGAATGCCTGTACGACCGCTCCGGGGCTGCACACAGAAACCGATGAGTTGAGACGACGCAGCACTACAGCTGCCCTGCTCTTCTCAGCCGTGTTTCAGCGCACCCCGAGCACCCCGCAGGCAGGGACGAGCAGCCCCGGTGGGTCCGGCCATGGGAACAGCGGTGCTCCGTGCCCCGGGGGGCAAGAGCCAAGCGCCGCGCTTGGACCACGAGCATGGACCTGGCCCCCACCACCCACCCGGCTCAGCATGAGCACCTGGCCAGGCAGCGCTGAGGGGGCTGCCACGCAGGCGGAGCAGAGTTCATGGCCGAGACCCCCGTGCCGACGCCAGAGGAGGACCTGCTCTCCTGCCATGACCAGCCAACTGCAGTTCTGCACCCTCAAAACAGGATTGCGCGCGTTTCCCACCATACCTCCCGTCCTCTCACTGTCGTTCTCCCACCCCTTTGGAAATTACTGCTACTCAACTACAAAAACTAACACCAAGAGAAAGTATCTGTCACTGTTCAAGAGATGAGAATTCCCAAAGCATATAAACCCGAGCTTTTACAAAGGAAAAATCGCTGAATGCCACAGAATCTGAGGAGATGGGGCTCAGGATATTGCCAGATACTTTTGAGAAAAAATTCTGTGTGAAACTTTCCCTTTACTTTGATGCTGAACTCACGCTAAAGCTAGCAGTTATTTGCAATGCCGAGAAACCAGTTACTACTGAAAATGAGGGCAGGCACTTTCCTAACTGCTATGGCCCTTGAAGTGTCTGGTGATTAACACTGTGCTGGCTGCTTCACACACTGGTGCCCAGAGAAGAAAAGACAGAGCAGGGACTTCCACAAAATTCCCAGAGAAACACACAAAGGGGAGAGGAAAAGAAAAAGAAAGAAGAAAAAGACTTCAAACTCCTGCTCCCGGCTCCAGAACAAATGGCATTTTCTCACCCCTCTCATCCCTTTGATGGAAAATAAATTAGAACCACAAATAATAATCCTTAGCCCTTCTCCAGCGCCTTTCATCTGGAGAGCTCAAAGCTCTTTGTATATTAATTCATTAAGTCTGGTAACACCCCTGCAAGGGTGGAAATATTACAGTGTTCAACTTGAGAAATAAACTGGCACCTCAGAGCTCAAGCAAGCTGGTTTTGGCCAAAATGCCATGGAAGCAGCCAAATATGTACGTGTGTCTCCTACCACCCACCACAGAGCTGCACCAGAGGAGGGGTCGGGGTCTGCAGAAGACCACCACTGGCCATTACAGTAACGCCATTTTAGACACAGGAGTGAAAACAGAGAGATATTAAAAGGTTTGCCCAAAGCTAGGAGAAAAGCCAAGCCTGCACGAGCATCTTAACGTCTTCACTCGGACAACCGCAACTAGGCAGCTAAAGGAGAGCCAGCTCTTCCCCAGGACTTGGTCACGCTGCCGTACCGAGGGCGATCTCTTCTGAAAATCAGGCCTGGGATGGTCTAAACCAATGGGACAGTAAGCAAGCTGTGCCACCGATCACAACCGAGGCACTAAACTGCACCAGCACAGGAAAACAAGCAACATTTTAAGAACAAAGCAACATCCAGTGGGTGGAAAATATGGGAGCCCAAAGCACTGCGCGCTCCAGCAGTGACCTGCAGTCGTTCCTCAGCAGCAGGCAGAGAGCTGCCCTGTCCCTGCAGGACAGGCAGATGTCCCTGCACAGCTCTGCTGCTCTGTTCGCCCTCCTCGTGTATTTGGGCAGGTTGACAGCCGTTCCCCCCGATGCACCAGGCAAGCTGCTCCAAGCCCCACAAGTTCGACACGGTCTTCACAAGAGCGGCGATGGCAGCGAGGACGGCAACTGGAGGGCCCAGAGGAACCTGATGGGGTTTAATACGAATGACGAAGCTCTGCAGAAATGCTGAGGGTTTTTACATAGCTGAGGCTGCAACAGCACTGGGCTCCAGAGAGAATGAAATGCTTTCCAAACTACTGATGCATCTGTCTCATTTCCTTGCTGGTTAAATAGTTAAAGATATTTGATGTGTCTGTCACAAAGTGTGAAATAATGTTTTACCAGGATAATGTTTGTGCTTGGCTGTGACAATGCTGGGTACTACGTGAGAGCCTAACTCATACCTGAAAGCATCTTCTGATGTTAGGAGGAATGTTCAAAGAGAATACAAACAGCTTCTGTTCTCATTTGTTTTTATGGAGAGCATTTATTTGCTAAGTACTAAATATGCAGAAAACAAAACAGTCACACCTTTGCAGCCTGCATTCACTGCACTTCCCTAAAACCAAAACAGTGTTGAAACAAACCCTGTTACAAAAGGTATTCCAGCCAAGGTATGATAAATGCTTGTAAAAAAGCAACACTCCACCACAACAAACAGGCTCTGCGCGCTGTAAGATGGATCCAGGCAGCAAAGGAAATTAAACCACACCAGGAGAAGGCAGAAAGGGCTGAGACGCATCAGCAGCCACAAATAATTGCTCAGAAAAGGCAGGAAGAAGCAAATAAATGCTAGGGCTGTCTCCCTTTGATGAATATTACTCTTAATATTCCCCAGTAACTTTGATGCTGGGCGGGACCCGGCTATCAGGGATGCTGAGGTG